GTGTGCTACATTTGTAAACTTTTTTAGACAAGTAAATCGAGGCACAGAGAGGATACGCAATGCACTCCAAATCACCAACATGCATAAGAGCTAGTATTGGACTTAAACCGAGACAACCTGATGCCAGCATCTGTACTTTTTGTCACTAGGTTATATCATTGCCTCCCATACAACTGAGGAAGTAATAATGCTCACATTGCAGAGATTAACATTAAAGCTCCCAGAAGTCAAGTTACTTATCTAAGGCACATGGCTAGCAATTTCTATTTTACATAACAATAACAAAAGAGAACTCTGTTGCTGTTATCACTCCATGCCAAAACCATTTTGCCCTCCTTTTTGCAAACACATGCAGTTTTATTCTTAGAGAAAAGAAATTATGGTGAAATACGTTCAATTTATTTAACAATGGAAAATAACAACCAAAGAGATTTTCATTAAAAGAATAAAGAGAGAGTACATTTAAAACATATTGTACGTAGATGGCTTAAAAGCAGCAGAAGAAACATTTAATTTCGAAGGGATGAGGGTTGTACAAATGGGATTAATTCTTCCTCTAATGTTCTAATTGCCTTTATCCTGTTTAAAAGCAAGTGTGTTCATCATGTGCTAAACAGTAGTGGCCTCACAGGCCTGACACACTTTACTATATGGAGGGTTGAAACTTGTTAATGTAACATTTAGTTACATTAACAACTTATAATGTAACTAAAAAGTTATATAGCCAGCAGTTGGAGGCATTTGCTCAATAGTTCCACAGAGCACTTGTTCTATAGAGACTCTGTTTTAACATCACTAATCATTGTTTCAAAATGGGGGTAGAGAAGATTGAGTGATTTGTTGGAAAAAAACTTATTCAGGGAAAACGGAAATTCTGTATGTTTCTATCATATTTTTAAAAATGCCAGCAAATAGACTTCTGAATAATAATCATGAATTATTTATACATACACAAATACTATCAAGGAATGGGTTAACTAGTTTATTTCTAACTCTCATCTATATACCTCAGAATCTTTTACCACTGGATAGATCAAAAAGAAACTCTCTTGAGGAAAATGTAATTTAGCTATGAGAGAAGGTCCTAAGGGATTTTTTCTTATTGCTTATCTTACTTTTGATTTTTTTTTCCCAAATAAGACCAATTTTCAGACTTTGGCAT